TTCACAACTTTTTAGTGTTAGAACTGCTACAGGCACCAAAATTGAACAATTTCTTCTCGTTCTGGTTTGCTTGATTCTGCGCTTTCTGTTTATTGGTGCCTTCATCAAAATGAGTGCTTCTTACTGAATTCCGTTCAAGGCTTTCTTTGGTCAAAGCCCATTGATTATCTTACATTAAAAATGAAGGAATGAATCTTGTTTTGATCTCAGTTCTGTCTGGTTTTCAGCTCTGAAAGTGGCAGCAGAGGATGACAGCGCGCTTGAAATGAGCCTCGAACATTTCCTTTAGGTTGAATCTGTAACATGAGGAGAAGGACTTGGTGCCTAATCCAATGTACCAGCAAAATTTGGTCTTGTTTTAATCAGAAAAAATGCTTTGCTGTCGGAAAAAAACGTGGATAAGCTACGTGCAGCCTGCCTTGCTCACGGGAGCGTTGTGGCACAGCAGCTGGGAGGAGAGTTTGCTTTTCTGGTAGGAACGTGGGAATTTATTTTCAATATAAACCTTTCTCCTTGCTTTTTTTTTTTTTTTTTCCTGATGCAGACAGATTCATTGCACTCAGTAACTGTTGCTAACTCCTACAACCCCTGCTGTGAGTACCCAGGGACTCGGGTGAGAGGGAAGGGGCTAAAACTTGCGCCACGTATCTACTCCTGCAACGGTTTTACCGTACAAAGCAGAAGCTGGTGGTTGTGTGTAGTTAGCCTGAACATTTTATTATTCATTCCTATTACGTCTTCTGGTTGATCAGTGTTTGTGCAGCTTATGTGGCTCAGAGAGAGGAAAATCACTGACGAGCCCAACTGTGCAAGGAGAGAGCCGACCTCCATCATATCTCTCCGAGTTCTTTCACCCCTTTCTTCTATTTTTCACAGCAGGAAGGAATTTGGCCGCAAGGTTTTTATTTTGTATGCATCGTCAATGCCAAAGTGCACAAGCTGATCTAAACCTGAATTCATAATTTATCCTTTTTTATGACTTTCCCCTGAAAACCTGATTGTCTCAGCAAGGGATAGACCTGCAGCCTCAGATGCTGTGACCCGGCGTCTGCTCTCGCTCCCCAAGTATTTCGTTTCAGTTCTCAGCTGGCACTTGGAAACAGGTTGTGTATGTGTGTGTCTTGCCCTCTTGTTACCCCACATTTGGCATAATATATTTATTTTGTCACATCTGGACATCTCTAGGGCAGGGACTGATGCCCCGGGCTGGGCTGGAGTGGG